CTCCTTGTCCTCGCCGTGACTCTGGTCGGAGGATGAGAGGCTGAGGTTGGAGTTAACCGCCAGGAATTCGGAGCTGCTGTACACCTGGGAAGGAGACGAGCCGTCAGAAATTGGGGAATCCCCCGAAGCCAGGACCAGGACACGGATGCTCGGCACAACCGTGCCAGCCTGCCAGAGGAGGGCTTGGAGCACCTTGCTGAAGCGATGGGAGCAGGAGGAGAACTGCCCGATCTCCACAGAGGATTCCTCGTCGTTGGTTTCTTCATCTTCCGAATCCAAGTGCCGGTACCGCTCGGAGCGAGCTGAAAGCAAGAGCCGGAGGAGACAGGGTCACCGACACACCGGGTCCTAACAGCCCTGGTGGGACCTGCACTGCTTCCAAATCCTGGTGGAGTTTTTGGGGTGAGAAAGCATGGGTTTTCGTAAAGCAGCCTGGAAAACGGGATTGCATCTGTTTTGTGACTTTAAAGCAACCGCCTTTGCCCATCTCCTGTGGGAGCACCCAGCCTGCAGCTGGGGTAAGGGATTGGCAAGGATGGGGAGGAAAAGGGGGCGAAGAGGTGGGACCTGCACTGCTTCCAAATCCTGGTGGAGTTTTTGGGGTGAGAAAGCATGGGTTTTCGTAAAGCAGCCTGGAAAACGGGATTGCATCTGTTTTGTGACTTTAAAGCAACCGCCTTTGCCCATCTCCTGTGGGAGCACCCAGCCTGCAGCTGGGGTAAGGGATTGGCAAGGATGGGGAGGAAAAGGGGGCGAAGAGGATGAATTTAGCCTCACTGTCGAAGTAGCTGGTGTCGTCCTCTGACTCCAGCTGAGGGATGAATTCGGCTTTCTGCCGCAGCAGCCCGTTCCAGTCGAGGCGGAGGAAGAAGGAATGGTGCTTCACCTCGTGCGCACCCCCTGCCCAGCAAAAAAAAACCACGTCAGAGGGATGGGGCAGGGTCTGGGATGCTCCCACTCCCAGTCCCAATGGCACGGCCTCTCCTCCATAAAATGGGATGGATCAGAGCCCTGGACTGCCTTCTCGGGGATAATCTTCTCTGAGCATCCTCAATCTGACAGGATATGATTTGCTTCCAGAAAATGGCTTAACAGGAATTAGGGTTCCAGGTCCCACCCCTGCCAGCCCACGCGTACCGGTGCCCAAGCGTTCGAGGGGACATTGTCTCAGTAACCGCATGATCAGGTCCTGGGCATCTGCGGGAAGAGCCTCGTCCCCTTCTGGCCACATGATTTCATCTGTGAGGAAAAAGGAAATGGAGTTTGGACACGACAGGGGTGTGATGATGCGAGGTCCCAGGAGAAGTCACCTCTGGGCAAAAGGAAAGTCCTCCAGGAGCTGCAGCAGAAGAAAACATCCACCCAAACCAGGAAATCAAGGCTTGAGGAGCCTCCTCTGAGTATGAAATGTAGGAATGAAGGACTAGACATGACTGCTGGGAAAGCGAACCGAGGAGCAAAGCTGCCCCGGACACTCACCGCTGATGACCTGCCCGAAGAGCTCCTCAGGGGTGTCTCCGAAGAAGGGGACGCAGCCCACCAGGAACTCGTAGAGGATGATGCCCATGGCCCACCAGTCAACTGGCTTCCCGTAGCCCTGTATGAGGATGACCTCTGGGGCGATGTACTCGGGAGTGCCGCACACCTGCGTGGGAAGCAGCAGCTCACACCTCTGCGACGAGTCCCAAGGCTATCCCAGACCAGCCGAGCGGAGCAGGACCTCTTACCTGCTTGTCCATGAACTCCCGAGTGTCCTTCTCCATATGCCCTTCATAGAGGTTCGTGGTCATGTTCATCAAGCCAATCTTTGACAGACCAAAGTCTGTCAGCTTAATGTGGCCCATGGAGGTGATGAGCAAACTGCACGAGAAGACAAGATACCCCACAGTGATGCTGGTTGGTTCCGGGGAGACCTGAGCAGAACCAGCCGGACTCCAGGACCTCTGGTCCCGGTGCAATGGCACAGAGCAAGGTTTTTGGGCACCAAAACCCATGACCTCACTCTGCCTTATTCTCTGGGCTTGGACCAGTCTCTCTCCCACTCCCACCCAAACCGAACCCTGTCCTTGCTCAGACCTGACCCACGTCCTCACTTGTCGGGTTTGAGGTCCCGGTGGACGATGCCGTAGTTGTGGAGATACTCCAGCGCGAGAACAGTCTCAGCAAAGTACATCTTCGCCATGTCGACAGGCAGGGGGCCCATGTTCTTCAGCAGCGTGGCACAATCCCCCCCTGCGAGGACACGGGTCCTCCTGAGCACGAGGGGCTCAGAGAAGGCAGAGAGGCTCCCAGCCAGACCCTCTCATCCCTCCTTGGAGCAGCACTGACCCCCCAGCATGGGGCACAAATTCTGTCCTAGGTGAGCATGGCCACCACCTTCAGCGAAGTAAGACTCAAAAGCATCTTATAGAACGGTTCAGGTTGGAAGGGACCTTGAAGATCATCTAGTTCCAACCCCCCTACTGTGGGCAGGGACACCTCTCTCCTCGTGCTTCCCTGGAGCAGAGCAGGGCAGAAGATGTCCAGGTGGTGTCCTCAACGTTCAGATATTGATACTGTCCCCTCCTCACTGCACCACCCAGCCGGAATCCCGTTCTCACCTTCCACGTACTCCATCACCATGCAGAGGTGTCGCTTCGTCTCGAAGGAGCAGAACATGCTGACCACGAAGGGGTTCTCCGCGAAGGTCAGGATGTCCCTTTCCACGAACACCTGCTGGATCTGGTTCCTCAGGATGAGGTTCTGCTTGTTGATCTTCTTCAAGGCGAAGCGCTGCCGCGTCTCTCTGTGCCTCACCAGGTACACGGCCCTAAGAGACAACGAAATGGCTGGACCTCACAACACAGGCTCCAACCACCAGCACTGACCCCGCAGCACTGCAGGGCTCAGACAGGGAGGACTTTGGAAATGTTTACGGATGGAGACAAGCGTTAGGAACTTCCCAGCTCACCCATAAGCCCCATTGCTGATCAGCTTGATAGTCTCAAAGTCCCCCTCACAGGGCTTCCTCCGAGGAGCAGTGACTGAAGGCTGGCTCTGAAGAAAGCAGAGAAGGTTTTTAACGTTTCCCAGCGTTGCCGGCGCTCTGCGAGCAGGCAGGAATTCACCAAGCACCATCACATATCACCTCTGAGTGCTCCTCACTGCCAGACGACATCCCTCCCTGAGCCCTCCCCAACCACAAACCCCAGACCAGAACACCAAGATGCTCTGCAGCCCAAGAGCCCACTCTGAGCTCTGTCCACCCAAGAAGCCAGATGAAGGATTGTGAAATATAACACTCGAATAGAGCAGTCACCCCCGAGGACAACCCAAATTAGCATTTCCCAGCCTGAGACAGCAGATGAGCTGCGCGCAAGGACCTTCAGTGTGAGGTGAGGTGGGACGAAGCTGGAGGCAGCAGATAGGACATGCAGGTAGGACCTCACCTCACAAGCATCATCGTTCTCTGGCGTGATGGTGTTCCCGCTGTCGAAGTGATCCAGCTGGCCCATTTCTGCAGAAGACATGCATGGTTTTCACTTTCTTCATGCTCAAACCCCACCAAAATAATTTCCCACCGACCACTCTCTCTCCAAATTCGGAGATCCCGCGGTGATTTAAGCCACACACTTTGCTCGAGTGATCGTACGGAGAAATTGAGGTCATGGCGTTAAGAGGTTCAACACGAGGTTAAACATTTATATAATTCTCTTTTTTCCGTAGTCATTCCCGTGTTCTTTGGGGATTATGGTTCCCCCGCCCCAAGGCCATGGCTTCCTATGGATTAAGCGTTCTTGAGCTTAATCTGCTTTGCCGAACATGTTGGGAGCAATAACGAGGGATGTGGGGCCGGCCAGGAGACCTGGACACTGTCTTGGTCCTTCCGTGACCCACCCCATGACATCAGCTCAGCCCTGCCACCTTCCAGTGCTCGTTCACCCTCACCCGTGACTAAACTGGGAGTCCACATCCCACTGCAGACCTTGGAGCCACCAACCCAAGCGGTTCCTTACCCTCCAGTGGGTCCTTGACAAGCCCCAGTTGGCTGATGATGTATCGGGGAATATCGGTTTTTATTCCCTGGCCAACTTTGGCGTGTCCTTCCGCAGCTTCCAGGAGATGGTAAAACTCCTCCGGGTCAAACTCCTGCATGGGGAAAAACCAAATGCAGTTGAGGAGTGAGACTTTGTGAAGTTAAACCTTTCCTCTAAGCCTTGCAGAAGACACCTGTAATTGGGAACAGGCTCTGGACGCTTGCAGGAGAAAGCTCTGCTCCTGTTTCTAGCATCGTTCCCCATGTAAAAGTGGCCTTAATGCTAGAAAAAAGCCTTAGCTCCTTGCTGCAGCCTGGCAAGGATGGTGAGGAGCAGTGGCTCCCACGGTGGACCAGGCAAGGTGGTGAGAAGATGTCAAGACACATCAGGAGGTGCCAGGTCTTACCAGGCACTCCAGAAGGCGAGCAGGGCGGGAGATAATGATCAGCAGCTTCCTCACCAGCTGGTCGATGAACTTCACCTCTTCACTTTCTGAACGCTCCTGAGCCTGCCAGAGAGGAGACAGAAGCCAGGCATCTACCAGTGGCCTCAGGAGACAGCTCTGGGCAGGGAACCGCCCTGTACTCACATCTCGGAGCATCTTCTCGAGTTTCTCTTGCAGCTCCATGAAGTAGCGGGAGGTGATGAGAGCTCCCTGGGACTTCGCCAGGCAGTCACGGGCCAGCTCGATGATCTGGTGGTGGATGAAGCCCAGCACCCCATCTGCCAGCGGCAGAGTGCTGCTTGGAGAGAAGTTGGTGATGGTGTCCTGCAGACGCTCAGCCTGCAAGGCAGAATGGACGGTGTTACCCAGGAACGTGTGTCCCCACACCACGCATTGGGCTTGACCAGCCAGGATCTCCTGCCACCACCTCCCCCAGCTCCAATACCCACGTGCCCATCCTGGCCCCACACAGGACCCAGCTTCCATCAGGCTGGAAAAGCTCCACCAAACTCTCCAGAGATGACACAGACCTGCAGGTCCTTGCCTCCCTGGTTCATGACCACATCTCCAGTGCCCTCTAACACCCTCTGGTATATCTACCCACATATCCTATATTCCAGCACGGAGAAGATGTTGTTCTGGAGAAGACACCGTCAGGATGCTGTGCTCGTCCTCCCCAGGCCCAGCAGTTACCTTGGGGAACCGCTCCTTGTAGACATGGTTCATCATCACAACCTCATTATCAAACGTTCCACTCGTCCGTCCAGGGCTGTGGAGGGAGGAAACCAGTTACAAGGTCCATTTACATCTAAGCAGATAGCTACTATCCCTGGAGAACAACTCGTTCCTTCCTCCTAACTCCCAAACCCAAGCAGTTAAAGCTCACCCAAACCACCAGCCTTGGGCCAGCACTTCCAGCACCGTGCACAGATCCGGAGGTCCCTGGGTTAACCTCCTGCAAAGCCAGGTCCCTTGAAAACCCGGAGCTGAGAGGATCAGTCAAGTTTGCTTTTGAAGAGCGAGCTCATCCTTTCTTTCCTCTGGATCCCACAATTTCCCACCGTTGTTGCCCTTTTTGCAGGTCACCAGCAAAAAAAACCAAAACCAACCAAACGCCGTGGTGGACACAGGGACCTTCATTAAACAAGGCTTCTCTCTTACCCTCACTCAGCGCTGCCTCTCTCAGGCCCCTGCCTGGTGATCCCGTTACGCAAAGCAAGTCGCCGGCGCAGCCAGCGACTCGTTAACTGCGACAGAATAATTAAAACCAAAAGCCGCTCGCTGCCAGACCCAGCTCAGCCCTTGCCGTGCCGACCGCAGAGCTGGCACCTCCTCGGTGAAAACCTTGCCACCTACAGATAATTAATCTGATTTTAATGAAATTTCAGCTGGCAACACGCAGGGCTGTGGCTCTGCCTCCGCTGCAAAGAGGGTCGGGAGCTTTTTCAGTGGGAAAAGAGGATTTAACCAAAACATGCCCTGTAAAAAACACAAGCTCCTGGCACTGGACAAGGGGAAACGTGACTGGCTCCTTGCACAGGACGTGGTCTTAGAGCAGCGACGTGGAGCTCGGTGTATCCGTAGGGTCAGCTCACACAATGCTACGGCCACCACCTTGACGGTCTCTCCAAATTTGCCTCTCTTCAGCCCGTCCCCCTGCCCTCCTTGGTTTTCATAGAGGCAAAGGCTGGGCTGATGCTCAGCCCCACCAAACACAGCTGTTTCCTGACCCAAGCCCAGAAAAATGGGATTTTTAGCCTTTTAAGGGCAGATCAGGCTGGTGGCCTCCCAGCCGTGCCCTGCAAGGACAGCCACCACTCAGGCCTCTGTTCGGTCCCCTCTGAGCAAGAAGCTGCAAACCAACTCTTTTGGAGCAAATCCCACTTTCTCCACCTTCAGCCCCAGGAAACCGCGCTCTCAGGTGTCATCTGCTGCCAGGAGAGCAACACCACACCCCGACAGCCGAGAAGATGCTGAGAACCAGACTCCAATGCCCTGACTCATGGAGCTTAGGATGAGAGAGTCATAGAAACACAGAATCATTCAGGTTGGAAAAGACCCCTGGGATCATCGAGTCCAATCATGAACCCTACTCTACAGAGCTCACCCCTAACCCATCTCCCCCAACCCAACATCTAAACGACTTCTAAACACCTCCAGGGATGGGGG